CCCCCTTGGTGGCCCTGATGAGCATATGTTTACTGTAACATAGCTGAGCATCAATTGAAGTATATGATGCTTCATGAGTATTAACGAAGTAGTTCATATTAAAAGGCCATTTTAGCCTTCTTTTCATTGCAGTATAGACCCATTGCACATGACGTCACAGCGCGGGTGATGATGCATCTGTAGGACAAATTATCAATCTATACAAAGCAAATCTTGTAAAACTTTATAATAATTTTATATTAAAATGGTTAATTTTTGCGCTGTATGTGGTTGTTGTACCCGAACAGATATTGTTAGGGAGCATCTGGAGGACACTCTAAGGATTTGTGACGTCAGTGCAATGGGTCTATATGTTCTTTTCAAAACATCGTCTTCTCTCTTTTCAGGTCGTGAAGCAGAGTTACGCAAGCTGGGAGATCTGCGCAAAGCCAATAACGATTACGAAGAGCAGAACGCAATGCTGAGTAAACATATTGACAACATGAAAGCCGCCATTGATAAACTGGAAGAAGAGGTGACCAAATCTCGTGAAGAAAATAAAACACTTCACTGTCATCTTACAAACTTCCGTCAAATGTTGTCCCGCAGTCTCGCGGAGGTTCGTCTGCCTCAGTCAGATCGCGAACCCAGCGAGGATTATGTCGAGGAGTTTGTTGAAGAACTTTCTAAAATGTTTGAGAATCCATCTCTGCATGAAGAGATCCTGGCTAAAGTTAAGGATGTGCTTATGGGAGTGTCCATTCCTGAGTAAGAATAATTTATTTATAATTGAGTTAATTATAAACATAACAATGTACAACGTTCTCTTTTAAGAACGGCATCTTTTGTTTGTATGTTTGTTGTGCAGATTCTGTATTTAAAATACTGCAATTATTTTGTAAAATAAACTCCGCTAAAACTACTATCACGGAACGGCAATATTCACGTTATATACAAAGTCTGCAATCTTTGTAATCAATGTATATCAGATGGTCTGCAATATTTCTGGAGAAACACGAATTTCGAATAAATTTCAAAGATAAACTCTTCTAAAACGGAAATGGTGGAATATCTTCTTGCTTTGCCAACGATTATTCCATCTCCTACAAAGAAAGGAATTGATTCAACGACTTTGCTAAATGATGCCTTGCATCTGTGCAACTGCTCCGGGTTTTAAACAAGTCAGCTCGAAATTCCACACACACAAAACCTTCAATAATTGCTAAAATGTTTGGAACAGACAGTTTTAATAATTGCATTACCTTTATTGATCCAACATCATCATGCGAGGCATTGTCTGGTTTGAAAAAAGGATCCCTTGCGATCATCAATTCTTGCAGGTTTTGAAACACCACGTTGTCGTCTGAAATATCATTTCTCTACACAAGATATTCGTTGAACATTGAGATATACATATGGTCACTATAGATTAAAGCCGAGTTTACATCATCAGTTTTTGTGATCACAGTAGGAATTTTGCATGGGGAAACTCTAGGTTTTGAAGGATCTGTGAGAAATTTGTAAGAGAACTGACACGGTATTTAACTCAGAAAATGTGATAGTGTAAGCCAGCCGTAATTAGCCATTCCGAAGTTGATGAGAGAACTGGGGACGAGTGTTAAAAAGTGCCCAAATTAAGAAATGGACCGAATAACTAAAAAGATCACCTCAAAATTAGTAAGTATACAAAGTTTGAAGACGTTTATATGAATGCCCTTCGAATAATAAGCTTTCGAAAATTGTGATATTTACTATGAAATATATTCTAATTTTTGTTTTTGGGGACGCGCGTCCCAAAAACAATCTTTTTATCAGCAATTTCACAATTTTCGAAAGCTTATTATTCGAAGGGTATTCATGTAAACGTCTTCAAACTTTGTATACTTACTAATTTTGAGGTGATCTTTTTAGTGATTTGGTTAATTTCTTAATTTGGGCACTTTTTAACACTCGTCCCCAGTCCACTCATCAACTTTGGAATGGCTAATTCTCCAACAAAGAATTCCCAACAGAGGGTTAAACTCTTGTTTTACCTTCAGAGAAAGTCTAAGTAAACCAACACCGATATGCCTTGAATGAGCCACAGCTAACTGAGATTGATATTGTACTGCATCAAGTAGACTTTTCATACCAGCTTCGCCAATCTTGTTTGCTATATCACATGAACATGAAGTCATTGCTTCGAACTAGTAAGTACTGTTAAGGCAGAAATACAACTTCTTACCAGAAAGATTAAGATTGATCAGGGCTCTATTTCCAGGAATATAAAGTTCCCCCTGGATTTCTTCGACTGGTTCTAACAGCGGGTTTGGAAAGTCCATAATGTCCGAGGTCTAGAAAAGAATGGGGACGAAATGAGTGTTGTTTTAGTGTGTAGAGAGGATCAATTTTTCGATGTCATTCTGCTGAATCTGCCTTGGCTATCCTTAGTATTCGCCACTACTCCCCAGCAGGAGTGTATAAATATCTTACGTCTTGATCAACAACTCCTCCAAGTCCCTTTCTGTCAACTTTCGCCATTGAAGCTTTCTTGGCTTTCCTACTATCCTTTGCAGCGTCTGTGGAAGAAGCTGTAGGAAAGAAATATTTAATATATCTGCATCACAAATACATTGAAATGAGTCTTGTGTCCACCTTTCTGGTATAAATAAATTGAAATGACAATGAGTAATATGCCCACCTTTCTTTGGTAGTCTATCATCCAGTGCCATCTTTTTGTCCTTGTCCTGGAAATACAAGAAATGGATTTAGAGTAGAAACACGAAAAATGAAGAATGAAGAGAAGAAAATAATTCACCTTCTTTGATAATCCTTTCTGTTTGTCTTTCTTCTGATCTTTGCCCAAGTGACTCCTGTTCATATGAACAATAATTACTTGAAAAGTCACAAAATTAAAATTGTGTAAATGCATACTAAATGCTGCTTTACACTATCAAAGTTTCTGTGATCACAGTAGGAATTTTGCACGGATAAGTTTTTGAAGGATTTGTAAGAAATGTTTGAAGAAACTGACTCAATGTAAAACACTTGATACCTCGAACATTTCTCACAAATCCTTGCAATATTCCTACTGTGATCACAGGGACGTTGAAAATGTAAACCAGGCTCAACGACGTACCCACTTCGTACACTCTGAGGTCTCTCTCCTTTCATTATTCCATGATTTGCAGATTTTGTTGGTGCACCAGTGGGCTGGAAAATAAGTCTTTCAGTTATCACGTTGTACAGTTATTTTAGGACGGTTGTTTTATGTACAATCTAACAATCTTCAAATAAATTTAATTCAATTTTATATGTTAGGTTAGGTTAGATACGGTATGGATTAGGTTATTATATATCTTTAAAATCCTCATTAAAAATTCATAAACCTTGTAGCAAATCATGTCAGCCATAACATGTCACGTGCAGTGACTTTATATCTGATAAAAGTCATCCTAATTAGTATGATTATATAATTGTTCATCCTAATTAGTATTCTTTTGTTGTCGTATTTTAAGCCATTTAAAGCACTTGTAGTCGTGTTTTATCAGATATAAAACACTCCTACGCGTGCTTTAAATAGTACATAAGGTTAGTATTTAGATTATTAGGTTGAAGGGTTATAAACTAAGATTAAATTTTAGGTTAACTTACGATTAGAAATGTTACTTTATTATTAGATTTTCTCTTCCGTAATGTTTGATGGTCGTTTGAAACGATGACTGGTTTGGTGAAAACCTCCAAACTGGGCCTGGGCTGAATTGAAAAATAATTATTTATTTAATTAAGTTTAGTTTTAAGGCTATATGGTTATATTTTAATCATTTAAACTTTATGTAAATCGTATTATTCCTCGAATTCCGACTGCTCTTTGGCAATTCTTTACTCCAACGACTTCATCTTGAAAATTTATCACAAATAAAGTTATTTCACCTCTTCGGCGTTTTTCTTCGACATAAGGAGACGACGCGCGACTGTTTCCTCGTGGTTCAACGCAAATTTTGACATCACCTAACAACATTAAGATGCAATGACTTTATTCTGAACTGCAGGCAAAGAATGATACTCCCCTATGATTTGGTAAGTTATCTTACTTCTGCAAGTTTGGCTGCACCAGCATCTCGTATCATATTACTGCCCAGATCAAGACTTAACAACGTTCTATTTGTTCTTAACCCCTAAACGAGAGATGTAGGAAATGATTTAGCAACAAATTTAACAACTTGTTATCATTGGGGAACAGTCGATGGCTGTTCTTCAGACAACCAATCTATGACAAAAATGATATCAATTTTTAACGTAACTTCCCTTCAAGACCGTTCACCCAAACATTCCGACGGAGAACAATTCCATTCGTCTTACCCTAGCAATACTCGCCACTCCTTCACATGAGATTTTGTTGAAGCACAAGTTGAATGTTTGTAGATGTTTATTTGATGATAGAGCTCGTCCTATATGATTGGCTCCTTGGTCATTGATGTAACAATTCCTCAGAGATAGATTTTGAAGTCTAGAGGTGGATAAAGGAATAGCTGTCAGCTTCGCTTCGACGCAACTTTGCAAAGTATGCAGTTTCTCGCAAAAGTTGCCAACATTAAATTTGCCTAATTGATTATTTATTAAACGTAAAAGTTTCGTAAAGTGAGGAAGATATCAATTTTTGAAGGTAATTTCTTTTATAATATTTTCTTTTGCTGGTTGAAATAGAAATACACAACTGGGTAAAAAAGCAACAAGGTTGTTGTTTCAACGTACGTGCTGTCTTCACCCAAGAACATTCCGTAACGCTGGAGATACACTGGATTACCATCAAGTGATAAACTTCTAAGAGTGAGATAAAACAGGGCGAATATGAGCAACACAATCCCGCAATTTATATTAAATTTCCCAACCGAGATATTATAATTACTAAGATATTAAACGCACGCACCTTAACAACGGCAAGTGTTTGCAAATGTTGGCCAAAGCCTCAAGTAACGTATCTGTTAGACCCGTGTTATTGAAACTAAAATGAAACGAGCGTAATCAACTATTAAAAACCAACAATGAGATCTCAACTCTCATGAGTAAAATACGAAGGAAATCATGACTGAAGGAGCTTGTATATCTGATACAAAATCTTGCACATAAACTTTAAGTTGTCATTTTTTCCAAGTAAAAAGCACTGCTTGTTTATGAAACATGGCTTACTCTATCTTAACCAGCTTGTCTTGTGTAGGTAAGGTTAAATTAAGTACGTCCATAATACGATTATCTATTGTCCATCCTCTAATGTACACTTCCTTTGCTATCGACTTCCCTTCAAAGACTTCCCACAAAGTTTGGACGCAAGGTTTCAAGTATTCATATTTCTCTTTGACAGAAAATGTGGCCGGCGGTCGTTCTACGTCACTTCTGTTTGTTGACTGAGACACGGTCCTGTCTGTTTTTGAATCATCTTTTCGATCTGAAATAGTTTGAAATGTGTGAAGTTATCTCAGAGGTCCAGTAACTCTGTAATCAATATACCAACTACAAACATGGCCTGTCATAAAAAGCCACACCAGAATGACATCTAACTCACCAGTACTGGAAGTGTCTGGCAGAGCCAGACATTTTTAACAAAATATTTTCCCAAGAAATTTTCTTGCACTTTGCAACCAAATTTTGTCATCTTATGTACTGGAATGTCGTATAATTTACTTATTGTTTACAAAAGCGTTTTGCCAGTAAAGATTGTCTTGTGTTGAGATGTGCTGCACTATATGTTCTTTGAAATCTTATATATGCAGGAAGGTTCACATTTGACTTACACAGAAATATATTTTCTAGCTATGTAACTCACCGTCCTTCTTATCTCCCTTCCCAGCAGGAGGCTGGGCACTCTCCAAGCCAGCACTGCTGATCTTTTTAGATTTTGGCCGACAAGGTCTCGGCACAACATGCAACTCTGGAAAGCCGGCTCTCTTGGCCAGTTCATGGAAATCCTGAGCAAAATTGTTCGTCAAAACATAAGGACCTACAAGGAAGAGTATCTTTCATTTAGATCAGAAAAATACAGGAAGAGGGACCTTTTAGGGGTAGGAACCCCACCCCACCAAGCATAATTCTTTATCACTACATAAGAGCATACAAGACATAGTCTAGGGTTCATGTAATGGGGGAGCGGGGGTTGATTCTGTTGTGTAAGTCTTGCACAAAAGCACCCATTTATTATTGATTGAAAGTGGCCTTTTCCCTTGACGGATTTTAAAACTTGTCAGTAAGCAAAATACGAGGAAAAAGTGCACTATTTTATGAAATATTCAAGTATAATGTAATATATGTATCGGATAAGTATAATCATGTAAGTTTTTTCCTCTGACGTAAAACACTACGGACATTCAATACAAAAATACAAAACATTTTAAAATACAGTTTAATATCGCAACTGACCATCGGGCTCATCTGGCGAACTTTCGTTGCTAATTTCAGGTATATTTTTATCTGGAGGAATTATATTTGTAGAAGAAGGTTTCTCAACGCTTCCGCGCTTTCCCATGCCTTCTTTTTAAATAACTATGCAGTTTTATGTCGACAAATTCAAAACATTTCACTCTTCTTGACCGCCATATTGTTTTCTTGCTTGTTGTCATGGTGATGTCGTCAATGTCGTCCTCCGTCCACTTTTTGCGGCAAGCTGTCGAATGACTCGAATGCGAATGGGGTGTGGAGAAAATCAAGATGGCGGTAAATTTGATCGATAAAAACAGATTGCGCGAAATTAAAAAAGATCTTCGCCTCTCTTCTGAGAAATGTCTGGCCAGGGGACTTGTACACACTGCAAAATGGTGAGTTCATGTCATAATTTTATTCTACCAGGAGGAGGTACACTAAGAATTATAGTGATATTTGAATAATTTGATAATTTTATAAATACTTGATAGTCGATTAGTTGCATAGTTAAATATTAGACTAGTTCATACTTGATAGCGTAGCGCCTGTTTAGGTTGTAGCATTTAATATTTTGTGCAGTTTCTGATCTTCCAACTTACAAAGGGTTCTTGAGAAAGACCCCCAAGTCAATTTTTTCCAAACCCCATTTGCCCCCCACTCCCTAGGTATAAAGTTGTCCCCAACCCCAAGGTTGGCAAAAATGTGTGCGGAAGGATTATCTTCGGCGTGCCACATGCATGGCAATCTTGGCAGTCTTGTACCCGCCCACTCATTAGCCAGAAAGGTGTATCCCCATGAGATGAACCTGTATCCATACCTGCTAATTCCATCATATTAATGTTTTGAAGGGCTGCAGACTTGTCACTAAGCCTTGATGTAACCCTGCCACCCGAGCCTCGCAAGTCAACTGAGAATATTGCACTACTGTCAGAATACGACAGTTATCTCTTGGGGAAATCGTGTTTTGATTCCAAAGAGTTTGAACGAGCAGCATTTTATTTGGAAGAATGTCAGAGTCATCAATGTTACTTTCTCAAGATTTACTCCATGTATCTGGTAAACACAGTTGCACTTCACACACAGTTGCTTCTGGTAAACACACAGTTGCTACGCCCTTGCAGGTGTAAATATGGAAATTGATCTGTTGTTCAATTGTATTTCTAGGCTGGCGAGAAGAAGAAAAATGACCAGAAAACTGATCTTCTTGGTTTGTCTGACTTCATTATTGAAACTTTTCTACAATGTTTTAAATAAGTTCGATTTTTCACTACTGCCATATTAATTTTAGGTCCTTTAGAAAAAACTTCAATACAGAATAAGAATCTGCCATTACTAAAGATAGAGCTATCTAAGAAACGAAAACACTTAGATGGCTTTGGTCTTTATATGTGAGTAATTTATCATTTTTTACACTTAACAGTTTTTTGGCAAAAACAGAAGTATGAAAGAAATAGTTTTTGAATTGTATGTACAATCTTCAGGTTTGGTATTGTCCTGAGAGAGCTTGGTTTGAAGCAAGAAGCATTAGAAATTCTTCTACAATCTGTGGAAAAGGAACCGTTACTTTGGGCGACTTGGATAGAAATTGCAGCATTGTGCAGCACGAAAGAAGAGGTTTGCTAGCCTACATTCAACAATGCTTGACATGAAAAGTTGTTTAATATGAGTCTTTGGATAATTCCTAAAATGACAAATTTTGTGTGTACACTTCCATTGTTCACCAAATTGAAATAAAATTTTAGTTTGGTTCTGAATTTATCCAGCCCTGTCTGAATTTTTGGACATTGAAGGTAGCAACATACGCAAGCTAGCTTCAATTATGACAACACTTGAAACTTATAGTATTTTTTCCATTATTTTTTCCAGGTTCAAAATCTAGTGTTACCCAAACACTGGATGAGAATGTTCTTTGATGCACATGCAGCCATTGGGCTACAACAGAATGCTGAAGCTTTACAAATGTACACTGATTTTTTGAACAGTGGCTTTAAGAAAAGTTCCTACATTTTGTCGCAGTTGGCTCTAGCACAATACAACTTGAAAGGTAGTCGAAGAATTGTTAAGTTTATCTTAACCTTGATTATCACAGGTGGAAAACTTGACTAAGACCCAAAATATGATCCTATACAACACCTGATAGATTTGTCCAAATAATACGAGAAAGCTGCGAATTCACAGGAATTCAACTACCTGAAGAAGTAAAACTTCGACAATCCACATGATAGCGATTTTTCAATCTTTCAAAAAATACTTGAAAGCAGTGAGACTACGAACATGGACCCACAAGTTCTAATAAACTTTAATGTGGGTTACATCTGTAGGAAACAACAGTCAATTTGAGAAATAGCCACACTATCAAGCCTTCCTATAACGTAATACCACAAGATCCTGAGATAGATGTCGGGATCCTACAAGATTTCTTTTCTGGTTCTGTAGATTTTGACCTTGCAGTTGAGCTGTATGACGAAGTTAATAAAGTTGATCCGTATAATCTAGACAACATGGATACATATTCAAATATATTATATGTCAAGGTATGTTGATAATAATTAATTGTATATTGCAGTATATGAGGGAATGCATCCTAAGAGTCATTTAGAGAGCTTCAGATTTGACTACCACTACCTCTTACTGGCTTAGAACCCATCTGATTGGTTAATCCATTGAGTGGCAACACTCTCCACTTGACGAGTAAAATCATCTGGCGTTGGACAGAGTAAAATACTAAAGTAGGGCGCATCAGGGTGCATTGCCACCACGGTTAATATTTTCCTCCTTCTATTAACCGTGTTGCCACTTAAAGGGTTAATGGTCCCTTAATGGTAGTGGTGGCAAAAGTCAGATCAGAACCTCTATTTAGAGATGAAAAGTTTCTGATGGCTGAGCTATATAAAAATGTATATTGATGTTTATATAAAATTGTCAAGGCTTGCTGTGTAATTTTATTATTTGTAGGAAATGAAACCAGAACTAAGTCATCTGGCACACCATTGTTTTGAAATTGATAAATACCGAGTGGAGACATGCTGCGTTGTTGGTAAATATAAATTTTGGAATGCCAAGTTCAGATAGTGTCCTGAGTAAAGGCCCAACCTCCAAACCTTCCCTAACCTCACAAAGTTTACTGCAGTGCAGTGCAATACATTATAATTATATTTCAGCCAACTTCTACAGTTTACGACAATGTCACGAGAAAGCCATCTTATATTTTCAACGAGCTTTACGTCTTAACCCGCGATATTTGTCAGCCTGGACATTAATGGGACATGAATACATGGAAATGAAGAACACATCGGCAGCTATCGAGTCCTATCGCCAAGCAATCGGTATGTGTTGTCATTTTTCAACAGTATCATTTTCGTCAGTGCCTGTTTTCTAAGTTCAGTTCTTTGTTTCTCCAGAGGTCAGTCCGCGTGATTATCGTGCATGGTATGGACTGGGACAGACATATGAAATACTGAAAATGCCGCTGTACAGTTTATACTACTTTTCTCAAGCTCAACGGTTAAAGTAAGTACTGAATTATGGGTAAAATCAGAATTGTCCTTTGTTGGAAACACGATGTATAATTATTATTTGCAAAACTTGCGCACGAAAACGAGGCTCAATAGCCAACTACTTTCCAGAAGGGGCTACTTACTCGAGTTCTGTAATCATGAAACTTTGATATTTCATATTGTTTATATTTGGGTATCATTTGATATTTTTCAGACCAAATGATTCCCGTACAGTTGTGGCTTTGGGAGAATGTTATCAGAAACTAAATCGTGTTGATGAAGCCAAGAAGGTATTCACTTCAGCGCAGCCTGGGTTGACTTTCCTTATATAGATATTTTGTTCCCGTGTAGACAATTCATGCTCAGACTTGACCACCATCAGGTAGCCCGCAGACGTTGTTATTAGAGAGTTTGAGCAAGACAACGAAGTACGAAGACGAAGGCGTACTTAACAATTTTTGCCGTCTGCACATTATCTTGCGCATACTGAGTTGGACGTCATTGGTGGTTGCTCAACGTGACTTCCCATGTGTCGCTGTTTATAAATACTGACCATAATTCTTGCCCTGACCCAGAAAAAAACAGCGAGACATGAAACTATATCCCGTCTTTGTCGTTCTGCCTTCGTTCGGAACGAAGTTCACAGCGAATTTTGCCAAAATATTCGTTGTGAACGAAGGCAGAAGAACGAAGACGGGATCTGGATTCATGTCTCGCTCTTTTGTCCTGATTAGGGTAAGGATTTGGGTCATCATTTATAAACAGCTAGACATGAATCTCTAATCTGTCTTTACTCCTGACCCTAAACTCAGAATGCGCAAGGTAATGTGCAAGACAGGCAAAAATTGACAACCACGTCGTCGTCCGACTTCGTTCCCTTGCTCAAACTCTCTATTCTTACGCCAAGCGACGAAAAACTTGTTGCTTGGCATAAGAATAACGTCTGCGAGCAGGTTAACCATCAGGTACACGATAGTGTTTAGTGAAACCATGCTTAACGTCAAACTATTTTTAGTGTTACAGACGAGCAATTGCAGTTGGGGATTTTGATGGCCTTGCAGTTCTACGATTAGCAAAGTAAGCTTTCTGCTGCAGCAAGTTTTTTCCTCTTGTTCATGTTAACCATCTTTTTCCATTGTTCAGATTACATGAGAGACTTTTGGAAGAAGACGAGGCGGAAAAATATTACACCAGCTACATCAAGAAAGTAGAGGTGGTTGGGGTACGTGTTTAGAGATCGGTGTAGCTACAAAACTGCATGTCGTGGTTTGTGTCTGAACTACCTGAAACACACTTCGTCTGTTTCGATACTTGCAGGTATTGTCCACGGAAGATCTCCCTGGTGCTTATACATTTTTAACTCGTCATTTCATCAAGAAGAAACAATATGATGAAGCAGGGAAATATGCTCAAAAATGTTGCGATTTTGCAGAGGTAAGAAGAACCAATGACAATGTACAGTTTTCCCACGGATATTAGCTTGGTTCAGATTTTACTTCCACTACCTCTGCCTCTCACTAGCTCAGTACGCATTTGGTTGGCTAATTGGGTAGACAAAATCTGATTGGCTAATTGGGTAGACAAAATCTGATTGGCTAATTGGGTAGACAAAATCTGATTGGCTAATTGGGTAGACAAAACGCATTTGATTGGTAAATTGGGTAGACAAAATCTGATTGGTTAATTGGGTAGACAAAACGCTTTTGATTGGTTAATTGGGTAGACAAAATCTGATTGGTTAATCGGGTAGATAAAACGCATTTGATTGGTTAATCAGGTAGACAAAACGCATCTGCTTGGTTAATGGTCTCTTAATGGTTTTAGTATTTTCATTATCTGTTTGTATGACAAGGACATACCTGTAACATAATCATTGAAATTTCATTGGCTGAAAAGCTCATTAATTATTTACTATTTTATCAGTCTCGTGAAGATGGGAAGACAATGCTTCGTCAAATATCGGAGCTCCGATCTCTCGCCGAGTGTACGTCGACGCCCATGAATCGTGTCCCGCCGGAAAGCTTGCAACATCTTACTACAGATATGCAAATATCACCCATGAATTTGACGTTTTCACCATAAGATTGAGGTTTGTGATTGATATTATATGACATTAGAAGTATACATGCCGAGAATTCTTTATATTAGACAAGCTGTTATAAATAATCAATTTATATATTAACCCATGTTTAAATGCAATTCTAATCTTAATGTTAACCCTAACATCCACCTTAACCCCATAAAATAATAAAACATAAAACATGACTAAAATAATAACGGGCAATTACGGGAACCACTGAGTATTTTGATAAAATACAAAACAATAGATACTCCGAAAATTGAAAGCATTTTGAAAAATTGAAAGCATTTTGAATTTTTTTTTCAAAATGCTTTTTGAATTTTGAATTGGCTTTTTGAATTTTGAATTTTTTTTTCAAAATGCTTTTTGAATTTTTCAAAATGGCTCTTTTAAAAGCACTTTGCTGGGCATTAATATTTATTATCAGAATTCGTTTCCCGCCTGGTACTTCTCTGGTAACATCTATTGTTTTGTATAATAACGAGCGCTGTTGGAATAGGTGAGAAAGACATAGCGAATAAAGCAACGAGGGTTTCATTTAAAATTCACACTCCTGAACGTTACTTTTACACACGGTTTTCCTCTTTGTTTGAGCTCGGATGTTTTTGATCTGACGAGGATGATTCGTTGTAATTTCTAAGTTCTACACTTGTCTGGACTGTACTTAGACCTACAGTCTCAGATTCATGCGCCTTGTGAGAACCGTGAGTAATGGACACCACTGTCTGTTCACTATGACTTGTGTCCATTCGCGAGGAGCGCTGTTCCTACAGAAAGTAAACCATCCAATGAGTTGTATTGCAATGCTTGGCAAAGGAAGACTAAACTAAACGCTAAACTAACTTCATGCATACTGGGTATCAGTTTTATACTGTTTCTCTGGACTCCATAAGAATCATTCGTCGTGTTTTACTATCAGTTCTGAACAAGGGAGCAAGATGCAGTCTGCAAAGCAGGCTATTCTAAACTGTTCTCTGTAGAGGTTCGGTAAGGATCATCCTTTATCTATAAAGTTTTATATTTGGTAGAGTTCAACTGGGAGTTCTCTAATCTAAGTCGTATGACTATTTTCATCACAGACAGTTTGAGATTTTAAGTATTTTAGCAAGGCATGAGAAAGTCCGCTAGCATGGCAGCATGCTGCCAGGAAATTTTTTTAATCTCACAGGAAATTTTTAAGGAAAAGCAAGATATCAAGAATGAAGCTCGAGAAATTTCAAAAATCAGCATCAAACATCACAATTAGAGCATAAATACAACAATCATATCATAAAAATTTGTATCATGTGGCAGTGCTACCGCTATATTTTTCTTAATATTGAGGCAGTATATGACTTATTAAGGTGGTATATACGATGCTGTTGTTGAATTACAATCAAAATTCAAATTTATAAAACAAATTGACAGGAAATTTTTGGTCTGGGAAGCCTGCTGCCAGGAAGAAAAATATTTTATCAATGCTTGGATTTTAGTGCCACAGCTCGCCCAATTAATTAATTTTATTTTACTCACAGACGACTGAACTGGATCACAGCAAACATTCGTACATGCCAAGATTGATGCGATAAATGACACCATGATCATAAAAATATTCGCTGCAGTCATTACGGCGAGCAGAACACGTGACACGTCGCCATCCTCGCAACTTATTCCATCTAAAATATTCAGATTGAAATTAAATTACAAGAATATTTTAAACATATGAGGGTCCAGTGTAATAAATCGAATTATCGGAAAAAATAAAACTGCAACGCTTCGTGGGAATGTGTGGTTCATTCAAATTTATTACAGTAAGGTGGTTCAATTTAATCTTATTTATTTATTTATTTATTTGGCAAACCTGCAAGATACAGTTATTTTCCAAACGTTTCCGACACTTACATAATTTCTTAAAACAGACGCACTCTCCTCTCGAATTATCCTCACAGGCGCCAGGTTCTTTATACATCTGCCAAAATACTGAAGTCACTGCTGCCCCAATCGTTGATACAACGACTGAAATGATATGGAAACCGATCGATGCTTTTACCTAAAATGAAGAATTGAAAGATGAAACCCTGGATGTACCTGCAGTGCACGTCGCGAAGAATAGAATTCTTTTGTGTGTATGATGCAAATACTAATTGAAAAAATACCACTCGTGTGGGACTTTGCTGGCGCAGTGCCGCAGTGATCAGACCAAATGCCTTTTGTGCATGGGTTTCATTCTCGCTACGGACTCGTGTGGAAAGAGTCAGTCAACGCTCTGCTCAAAGTCGTGGGATTTCTCTGGGTACTCTGCTTTGCACCCACAAGGAAAGTTGACAGAGTGGGTCTGGAAAAACAGTTAAGAATAAGCAATTGTGATATTATTTTCTTAATAAGAAAGTATGGAATTAAATCAACGCAATACTTGATTGTAAAGCGTATTTGATCATATCCAAAGAATTGAAGGAGTTGAAGGATACTTCTATTTTGGCATAGACTCAAGAGTCTTGATATAATTTGCCTTTGACAGCTGGGGAATCATCTCACTATAATTATCTTAGCAAGGTTTATTTTTTATCTCTATACTTACATAAATTGTTGGTGTGGTAGTCACGCCGGAGAGAACACACAACACTCCAGGAATAGCGTACTATTTGGAAAGAAAAAAAGTATACATTTCATCTTGATTTTCTTCTAATACTACACCAAGACTGTAATGTAAAGAGATGATAAACATTATACTCTAATTAATTCAAAAGCGCGGCGATTCTTTCATGGCAGGTGTTTCCAATATACACATTTCAGCTAAATCTAATCTTACCGCGCACATACAAATTTTTCTTTCGTACGTTTTTTGTCATGGTTTAACGTCATAAATATGCATATATACTTTAAAAACTACTATACAGTCAACTCGTCCATGGTAGTTATTTATTTGATTTACGAATCATTACATCCTCTATACTAGTCAATCCTTGACAATGAACTCTTTTGAGGTGCTTTTTTTGCTGCGATAAAGTTGAAATCTTTTGGCAGATCAAAGCGATTTTGCTATATAGACTAAATTATAACATACATTTCACAATAGGCCCGATTTTAAGATATATTCCGCAATATTAATAGACAGATGGCAATACCGGCATGAATATAGTATTATTCTATAGTAAAATATAATTATCTTGAATCATATGCTCTTTTAAAAATTTTTAAAATTTTCCGAAATGACAAGAGAAACTTTTTTGATTAGTTCTGTTGTATTTAGAGAATTTGAAGTTTCATAGATTATGTTCAAAGCTTTGCCTTTTTCAGGAAGCGAATAAAATTCTCATTTTATAGTTATATATGTCTTGCTCAATCTAAAAACAAAACAGATGTCAATTTTCATATGTCAGGCCTGAATGAGAGAAAATTTCATAAACGTTATTAGATATTAATAAAAAAAGATTACATATTATGCAGGACAAATAGTCGTACACGGTGTACTACTTACGTATAAATAAAACAAAGAATACCACTCGGTTCCTGCGCCATCAGAATATTTGTGGAGGACAATTTTCGTACATATTACAAACGTCAGAGATAGGAGTAGTTCTAACACTCCAATGATGACAAAATACAGCCGTGATCCTGTGAGGTCAACCATAGTCTATCTCGCGTTATAGACCTTTTCACTGAGGACGAGAACAACGCTCATAATGAATGCAATTGACATGTGCTGATGTGCAGGAAAAAAAGTGAGATTTATTTTCACATGTCATCTGATTAGCGCATTAATCTGAATATGCTGATTTATATGGAGTCATTATATTTTAATGTAATATTTCATTGGAAGGAAGAGAATACTGTAAATGCGTATTGTAATTGATACAAAACCGTTAATATTTGTAATATTGTCCATTTCCACACTCGATTGGTCAGTTTTTCACGCTAAATTCAGTTGATATAGTTGATTGATCAAAGTAGTTTTGGTCGAAATTAAATATTGACAGTACATTACATTTAAATTATATTTAAATATACGCCCAATTAGAATTCGGCGAAGGCAAGTGGTTGAATATCTGATGCAGTACGGACACAGATGCTGTATATAGCTTGTCTGGATTAGAACAATTAGTTTCTTGAGAAAAATGAAGTTATGCTTCAAGTGCCTTCACAGCCCATTATTTCCCTTTGTTTGTTTTTTCCTGAATAAGTAATCAGGAGTCTGTTCAAGTACCTAATCTAAGCCCCCTCCCTGGGGCAGCTTTTTTTTCCCAATGGTTCTATTGCCTGGGGGCTTATTGGAGGTGGGGGTTAAAGACGAAACGGAGAATTCTGGCTATTTTAGCTTTTTTCGATTCACGATTTGGCCAATTTAGACAATCTTCCTAGGCTCCCTGTGTTTTTCTCTGTCGGACATGTCATTATTTTTCGTCTTTTTATTCTTTTTGGATTTATATAAAACAGAAATGGCATACTAAAATACGTAAAAACACGGCGTGATATCCAGTTTGTACAAAATACTAAAATATCTTGCTTCAATGGTGTAAAATGCGAGAATAGAGCGATAAAGTCGGGGGTCAAGTGTGACAAATCAAGTATGCCAACAAAGTGACCCATGTTGTCATAATTTTAAACTTGCTTAGAAGGTAAGATTTCACTTGAATTTTCATCACTTGTGTTCTTTTCATTATATGTGTTTGCTTTTGGAATATTGGGTAACTGGGAAAATGTTTTAAATTTCTACTGCTAACCAGCTAACAATAAATTGATGAGTATTGTGTAAATATTATGATATTGATCGTGTCTTGTGCAATCTATTGTGACATGGGAAGACGTTTTTTTGAAGGATATTGAAAAATCCTTTGGTTTTTACATGAGCTATACATGCCTTTGACCTTTTAACATTCGCACTTAAAGAATATGTGTTGTAGACTTTGAGATGTAAATTCTCTAGAAAAGTTGAGGTCCAGTGTGGGGAGTCTCTATTGTCAAATGATTTCTGTTTTTCTTAAAACTAGCATAATAAAACCCTTTAGTCATATAACTTGTGTGCCTCTGAAGATTAACCATTAATGTCCAATAGGCCTCTCATGATGGATAATAATATCTGGTATTAGACAGAATATAATATAACAGAGACGGCTGCCTAATTGGTCAATACAAAAACTATGTAAATAATAAATCAAAAATAGTTCAGTAATCAATGTAAATACAGCATCTGTACATTAGAAATCTTTTTTTTCTTTTAAAGAAATTATTCTTGCACATCAAAATATATAAATCAAAGACAGAAAGCAACATGACAGCAAACGGTTCAGGTTTAGACAGGTTTTTAAGCAAAATTACTGCAGATGTTGTAAGAGCGGGAATTGAAAAGGTGTCATATACGGATGTTGAAATAGATGATGAAGATTCTCTCTTAGGACAATTGAATGATGATTTGTTTAAAGATTCTGTTATAGAAACTAGTTGTGGCATGCAATTTCCTGACTTGCCCGAAATCAAACCTGAGGACATTTCAAATGCATATGTCCATGAAAGATGTTGTATCCTTGTAGAAGACACAATTATTGAAGTTTATGATGAATTGCGAAGGATATTTGACTTAAATGATCAAAAAATGTCAAATGATACTGAATCTTCAAAAAAGAAACTTCTGGTACTTGATTGTATAAAGGATTCTGATCGCTTACAAGCATATTTCCAGAAGTTGTCCCTAAGCATCATTCAAAATGCATTGGAGAAGATAGTTGAGGACAGTAAACATGTGGAACCTTATTTGGTTTCTGATATAAAAAGTGATATTGAAATTGATGCTCAACAAGGAAGTGAGTCGAATATTGAGAAAAATTTGGATAATAATATTGACAACACTGCTCATGATCTTGAAATTAATTCTCAACATGAAAACAGTTTTAAGAATGACAATCCATCTGTGAGGGATAATTCCCAAGTTGATTCTGTTGTTCAAAATGAAGATTCCAATATAGATTCTGGGCAAACAGGTAGCACGTCGGGAAGTTTAGGTTTCACTACTGCGAATTCTACAATGTATCAAACAGAACACAATGGAAGTTTTAATGGACAATCTAGCAATGAAGACAGTTTCTTTAGTGCAAAGAATTCAACCCAGGGAAATGGTGAACATACAACAGCTGATTCTGCGATGTTTACAACTGCTGATGATTTTAAAGAAAATTCCAGTATATTTCTGAGTTTTGATTCACCACAAGATTCCACCATTATGATGCAAAGTCCTCCAGGGAGGATTGACAGTTCAGACATTGACATAACACTGACATCTGGCCCTCGTCAGAGCACACCACTTGTTGATGACAAGGACAACAACCATGAAACAACTTTGTCTTCTGCTGAAGCATCAAACATACTTCCCGAGGGCTTACAACATGGAGGCAATGACGCTGGCCCTCATCAGAGCACACCATTCAAGGATGACAATCATGAAACAACTTTGTCTTCTGCAGACAAACTTTCTGACGACTTACAACATGATGTGACAGAATATCAGAGGACGCTGCAGGAGTTGTCTGGGGATGAGTCGTCATTTGGTGATCCCTCTAGTCCTAGGACATTGTCTCGTCAATCAAGTGCATTTGGAAATGTGACGCTGGAATTTGATACTGACTGGGAAGCCAGCATGAAGGGAATGCAAGAGGAGACTGGGATAAAGTCAAGATCTGAAGGTAAGAATGAAGCAGTGTCTTCACTATTGCTACTGTATGTTTGCAGACCATCCAGCCAATAATGAGATCAGTTGATGAGCCATCCAGTTTGTCAGACTGTCACTTACTCAGTCCACAATTGGTCTGTTGGTTGGGTCAGTCCAAGAAATACTGCTGCTTTTTCTTGACAAGCTTTCTGCTATCAGATCAATAGCCTTCTATAGGTCTATGATAGCTTGTCAATAAAATTTGGTAATAGAGCATCTCAAACCTATCTCATGTCCTGTGCCATGTGTTTCACAAATTTTTGTCTATGTTTTAACTTTTCTTATATATTATTGTTAGAGAAACACAAAGTTATCTTGCATGAGTTATCATTTGAAGACCATGGTCATCGTCTGAAAGCGCCAGAGTTGCTATGCCCTGTGTTCTTGGCCGTCCAAGATGACGAGTTTGGGGATGAAGAAAGAAAGAAAAAGCAAAGAATGTCTCAGAGTATTGACGATCTTTGTGAAATGATATCTGAAGATAGCGATGATGATCAAGGTATATTATGTCTAGGTGCTTGTGTCTTCAGCCAGCCCACCATATCTAACCCAAATCCTAATCAATGATTACTTATACTAATGCACACAGGTAAACATTGCCATACCATGAAAGTTTCCAAGTCAAAATGTGGTTCACAGGTTTCTTGACCCAAAAGTCACTATGCTTTTTAAACCCTTCTGAGTTTGAAATTTTCTAAGTCAGTATGTGGCCCCTTATCCATAGTTGGCTGAGAATCCAGGTAACAGATATTATAGTAGAATTTATAGTAAACATATGGAGTACATACAAGTGCAGATAAGGAATCAATTACATAGACATTCTAACCCATACCCTAATGAGAAAGAGAATGAACTGGACAAAACATGGCAACAGGAAAATAAGAAAACAATTATGGGAAGGTAACATTTGCATTCCCTTCTTTAATTTAGATCTCCCTCTGCGGAGGCGGGCAATGTCCCTTGAGTGTAAAAAACCTCCATCTAAAGAGCAACGTAAGAAAGCTCCGACAAGGGAAGAACTCATGGCCGCATTTGAAGAACTGCAGCATGAAATTATGGAAGAGAAAGAATTGGAAGAGGAGGGTACAAATGAGCAGGATGAGGAGCAGAAGGGGACACCAGCTGGAGAAATAATGGATAACCAGGAACATGGATTAGATGATCCATTGAGGTGGCACACTGTTGTTTTTAATGGACAACACAAAGTGATTGATTTGAAATTGCTTGAACCTTTCCTCAAGGTTCTTACACATGGAGGTAAGAATTCATTCAAAACCCATTGCTGGAAAATTAAATTTTCTCCATGTGTGTCTAGATTCACAATGTATCCCATGTAGTTAGGCAAACTGGCATGTGTGGGTGTAAATGGAGCCAACAGATGCATTTTTTAGTCAAGACAAACCAGAGACGGATTTTCATATTTTCGTTCAGGGGGGTGGATAAATGAAAAAGTTTAACAAAATTTGTTTCTAGGCCTGCATGGCAAGATCTGAGACCATAATATTGGTAATTTTACAAATTTAGTAGTAAGAATAATCAAATATGAAACTATTAAATCAAAATATATATAATTTGCGGGGTACAAAAAATTTTTGGGGCGGCGCCAAATGCCTCTAGGGGGGTGCCAATCATTTCCGGAGGGGGGGGGGTGTACGTGCCTGAGACAAACTGCAATCGTCTATGTGTATAAGAGTACAAGATGTTGTTACCTCTAGGTTATCACCATGAAGGTGACAAGAAGACAGTGATTGTGGTTCTCACAGCTTGTAACTTACCAAACAAGAAGATGAAAAGATATCCGTTTTTGATGGAACAACTTTTCTTGTAAGTTTTTCAGTTTCAGTTTTAATATTGGAAATAACTTCCACTCCAGATGAAATGGATCTTTGAAAAGGTACATAGATCTTAGATTCAGTGTTCTCTCTTGTAGTTTCATAATCAGTACGATGGACCTGCTAGTTACATCTGAGGAATATATCTTTGTTTATTTCCACGGAGGAACCAGCAAGAATCAGTCACCTAGTTTCTCATGGTTAAAGAAATATTACCAATACATTGATCACAGGTAACAGTGATATTTATTAATATATTCAAATGATGGGAGTCATCTTCAGACAAGATGTAATAGAGTCCCATGTTAGGATGGCTGCTGTTCTTTCAAACATTGCAGGTTTTCTCAGAACCTTAGCCAGAAGTGTTGAGCTTTAATCCCACTGGTAATTTGTGTTATAATTTAGATTACGAAAGAGCGTCACTAAAGTGTATGTCGTCCATCCTAATCTTTGGCTAAAAAGTGTCTTCCGGCTTTGTCGTCCATTCTTAAGGTAATGATCTTTTTATTCTGTGGTAATGATCTTTTTATTCTGTGGTAATGATCTTTTTATTCTGTGGTAATGATCTTTTTATTCTGTGGTAATGATCTTTTTATTCTGTGGTAATGATCTTTTTATTCTGTGGTGATGATCTTTTTATTCTGTGGTAATGATCTTCTTATTCTGTGGTAATGATCTTCTTAATCTGTGGTAATGATCTTATTCTGTGGTAATGATCTTCTTATTCTGTGTTAATGATCTTCTTAATCTGTGATAATGATCTTTTTACTCTGTGGTAATGATCTTTTTATTCTGTGGTAATGATCTTCTTAATCTGTGATAATGATCTTCTTATTCTGTGATAATGATCTTTTTACTCTGTGGTAATGATCTTTTTACTCTGTGGTAATGATCTTCTTAATCTGTGATAATGATCTTCTTATTCTGTGATAATGATCTTTTTACTCTGTGGTAATGATCTTTTTATTCTGTGTTAATGATCTTCTTAATCTGTGGTAATGATCTTATTCTGTGGTAATGATCTTCTTATTCTGTGGTAATGATCTTCTTATTCTGTGGTAATGATCTTCTTATTCTGTGGTAATGATCTTCTTATTCTGTGGTAATGATCTTTTTATTCTGTGGTAATGATCTTTTTATTCTGTGGTAATGACCTTATTCTGTGGTAATGATCTCCTTATTCTGTGGTAATGATCTTCTTATTCTGTGGTAATGATCTTCTTATTCTGTGGTAATGACCTTCTTAATCTGTGGTAATGATATTCTTATTCTGTGGTAATGATCTTCTTAATCTGTGGTAATTATCTT